GTGGGGCCACCAGCTCCACAGGATCAGTGGTACACAGGGAAGTTGCCCACACATGGGGAAGGGGCAGAGGTGAGAATGTTGGGGTTCTGCATTCTTCTGTGACCAGGACTGCAGGAGAGTCTCTCCACTGCTTCTGGCTGCTGGACTGACACAGTGAGCTAACTACGGTCTGGGCAGCAACATTGCTCCAGAGAGAAGGCACAGTGGGGTCCCTTGAGGACCCAGTTCCAGAGCACTGTGCCTACCCAGGAGTCAGATTTATTGATGCTATTTTCCTATGGCCCCTGCCAGACTGGGGAGATAATCAGGAGGCCTTATCTTCAGGTGCCCAGAAATATTCTGTAGAATTGATATTACCTATTTTTTTTTTTTTTAATATGGGAAGAATTCAGCAGAGAAAGCACGTGGGGCTGGGAATTTCTTTTTCTGAAGATTTTAAATTACGAATTTAATCGCAATAGTTATGTAACTATTTGGGTTATCTATTCGTCTATTTGGCAATTGGTGTTTGAGGAATGATCTGATTTTATTCACATTGTTGAATTTATACACATACAGCTATTTATAATTTTCCTTTATTTTAAGTCACTTTAATATCTTGAGTCTGGACTGCTATCTTCTATTTCATTCCATATATGGTAATTTGTGAACCAACTGTTGGCATCATTGATTTTTTCTATTATGTATTTTATATTTTATTGGCTTCTCTTACCTTTATTATTTCTTCTCTTATGCTTACCCTTATTTTTTGTTCCTAGTTTTATTTATTTTTTTATTAAATCATAACTGTGTACAATGATGCATTTACCTAATTTTTAAACAATGGAAGTTGTGATTACAGATTTGAGACCATTTCCTTTTTCTAATATAAGCATTTAATACTATACCTTTAACTCTTAGCATGGCTTAGGCTGAATTGCACAAATTTCGCAGGGCTGTATTCTTGGTTTTGCTTGTTTATGATATTTTCTAGTTTCCTTGGAAACTTTCTGTTTGATTCGTGGCATATTTAGAAGTGCATTATTTAATTTCCAAATATTTGGCTATTCTTCTACTTTTTTGTAATTTAATTTTAGTTTACTTCCAGTATGATTCTAGAAAATTATTTTTATGATTTTATTTTAGTTTTCCAAGGTTTGTTTTATAACCTGAGATATGATCTATCTTGGTGAAGGTTCTGTGTGTATTTGAAAAGAATATGTGTTCTGCTGATGTCAGGTGAAGAATTCTAAAATTGTGGGATCCAATTGGTTGATGATGATGTCCAGTTCTTCTATTAATGTAGCCCAGTGATGGATTGTCCGTTCTATCTACTGAGATGAATGTTGATATCTCCAACTATAATTATGAATTTGTCTATTTGTCCTTTTAGTTCCATCATTTTAAAGCTCTTTTATTGGGGTTATATGTAATTATGACTGTTATTTATTCATCAGAATAACCAATTCTTTATGTAATGCCCCTCTTTTACCTATTAATTTTCTTTTCTCTGAGATCCACTTTGATATAAGCCTCTCTAGCCTCTTTTGATTAGTGTTTGTATGGTGTAGATATTTTTAATCTTTTTTTTTATTTTTAGCCTTCCTTTATCATATTTTAAATAATTTCTTAAATAGCTATAAAAATTCTATTATAAACATTCTGAAAATCTCTGATTTTCACTTGCTGTGGTTAGCCCATTTAAATTTAATGTAATTATTAACATATTTGAATTTAGGTTTACCATTTTATGGTGTTCTACTTTTTTTGTACTTGATCCCGCCATTCTCCTTTCCTATTTTCTTTAGTGTTATTTAACACTTTAAAATAATCTCCTTTACAGTGTTTTTAAGCTCTATCTTATCCTAGGCTTTTAATGATGGCTTTTTGAGGGATTGCAATATAAATACTTAGCTCTTCTGTTATTCAGAACCAATATCCTACCACTTCAATTGTGATGTTTCAATCTTTCTTTCCATATGTTTATTTTAAATTGTGGTTTTTATATATGTTACATCCACATCCATTGAAAAACCCATTAGACGATGTTATACTTTTTTACTTTCAATAGTCAAATATATTTTTTAAAAGTTAGTAAAAGAGTATTATCTTCTATTTGCCCAGCTATTTACCATTTCTATTTTTCTTTACTCATTTATAACATTACTTCAGGTTTTCTTCTTACGATTTCCCTTCTTTCTGAAGATCTTCCTTTAGCCATGCTTTTAAAGCCATGGGTTTTTTGAAGCTAGTGTTTTCATTTCATCTGGGAATGTCTTTACTTCACCTTAATTTCTGAAGGATATTTTCTCTATGTATGGAATTCTCATCTCAGTTGTTTTCTTTGGCACTTTAAATAGACAATCCACAGAACGGAAGGAAATACACACATGCTGTACATCTGATAAAGGGCTGATGACCAGACTCTACAGAAACTCAAGCAAGTCAACATGAAAAAAATCAACACCACTAAAAAGTGGGCAAAAGACATGAACACAAACTTTTGAAAATAAGGTAACAGCCAACAAACACGTGAAAAAATGCTTAGGAGTGGAAAGCTGGGCCCCACCGGGCTGAGGGAAAGGTGAGGAACGGTCGCCGGCTGCCAGACAGACTGAGCAGAGCCTGCCGCAGGCCCCCCTTGGCCCTGCTGGGGACATGTGCACAGACTTCTGTGGTCGCCCACAGGTGCTTGCATGCTCCGGGTTGCGGCCCTGGGCAGACTGGAGGGAAAAGGCAGAGGAGCCGCCCTGCCCCTTGGACCCGGCACTGCTGGAATTTCTTGTGTGTCCTCTCTCCAAGAAGCCCTTCAGATATGAAGCATCAACAAATGAATTGATTAATGAAGAGCTGGGACTAGCCTATTCAATCATTGATAGAATTCCTAATATGATACCACTGGTGGCTAGGATGACGACATCAAAGTAAGAAGCAAGAAGAAATGGAATAGCACTAGGTTGTAATTTTTAAAAAGCCACCACAACAACTAAATTTTCTTAATACCATATCCCTTTTAAAGCAGAGTGGTGGGTAGTAAGTGGAGGAGAAGAATGTTTCTGAATCTTCCTACATTGACCATTCTTATTCCACTGGTCTCTTTAGCAGGACTGTTCTACTCCACCTCTGTGGAAGAAAACTCCCCACATGGCTGCACTAGCACAGTCAGTCTTTGCTTTGACAGTCTGCTACTGCTGATCACCATACCAGTGTGTCTGTTCTTCCATCTTTGGAGTTGGTTGGGTATTAAACTCTTCTGGCATAGTTAATGGAACCAGAGCCAAGATGGTATATATATATATTGATATGTCTTAGGTGTCTATCTTTGAAACTTCAACTGAGTGGAAACACCGGAGACCCATTTAGTTTTGGGACAGATGCCTTTGCCTGGCTTATGTCAGGCTTAGGACTATGGGAGGCTTAAGCTACACAAGATTCTTTTATTATACCCTTGTTCTGCCTTTGTTTTCTGAATTTTCTGACTTCCTAATTGCTGTATCAGGAGGAACAATTTGGTAGTGTCTTCTTGGACATTAACATGTCTGATGACTAGATCTTATTCATCTATTATTTAGTCCTTTGAAATTTTGTTTGTATAGCTTCAAGGTATTAGGTAAGGTCACCAGTAGAGAACACTGAAATAATTCCAAAGGAGCTATGTTGGAATGGTTGTAGGGAAATGTGTTTGCACTATTGTGATACAAAACCATACAATAAAATGGAAATTTCATGTACTTAGAAAAATTCTGAGTTTGTAAAATTTCCTTCATTTCTTTGGCATCCATTGCTTATATTAATGATAAATTAAGATGTTGACACTTTTCCATAGAAAAACATGCTTAACATCTCTAGTCCTTAGAGAAATACAAACCAAAACTGCAATGAGATATCAACTAACTCCATGGAGAATGGCACTTATCAGAAAAGTCCCCAACTAGTGCTGGCATGGGTCAGAAAGGAACACTTACACACTGGTGGTGGAACTGCAAACGAGTACTACCTCTCTGGACAGTGGTTTGGAGATACCTCAAAGAACAAGTAGACCTATCATTTTGATCCATCAATTTCACTACGAGGTATTTACCCCAAAGAAAAAAGAACATTTTATTACAAAAGCACTTGCCCTTGAATGTTTATAGCAGCATAATTCACATTTTCAAGGATGTGGGAACAACCCAAGTGCCCATCATTACATGAGAAGATTAATAAAATGTGGTATTTGTATGCCATGGAGTATATGTACTACTTATTTATTATAAAAAAAAAATTGATTCTCAGTATCTTTTGTAACAACCTGGATAGATCTGGAGACCATTGTTCTAAGTGAAGTATTGCAAAAGTGGGAAAAAAAAATACCACATTATAACACTAAATTAGAACTAGCTGATCAACACTTAATGTGCAAGAAAGTAAAACTCAATGGAAATTGAGTAGGGGGGAGGATGAGTTTGGATTACTTCACACCTAACAGGTACAATGCATACATTCTGGGTGAAATGTACACTTATATCTTTGACCTGAAACGTGTAAAACAAATTATATAACCAAAACGCATGTACTCCTGTAATATTCTAAAATTTAAAAACAAAAGTAGTTCTACTTCCTCTGTTGTTTCTGATTTAAATAAATACAAAGCCATGTATGAATTTTTGTAAGTGTAGTGCTTCACTTTATTTGATTGCTTACTGTATTTTTCACCATGTTTAGTTTTTAGTAGGTTGATGGTGATGTGTCTTGACATGGCTTTCTTTCTGTTTATACTGTTTTGGATCTTCTGAAGTTGAAATTGTAAGTGTATGATTTCCTGCCCTAATTCAGGACGTTTTCAGTTATTCTTTCTTCAAATGCTCTTTCCTAGACTATTTCTTCTAGTCCTTTGATGACACAAGTATTAGACTTCTTAGAATTGTTCTACAGCTACCTGAATCTGTTTGTGACTTTTTTCCCTACCTTTTTTTTTTTCTGTTTTCCAGATTGAATGATTTCTACCCTATTATCTTTATAGTCACTGATTCTTACATAATCTCCATTCTGTTATTTGCCCACTTAGTGAATTTTGAAAAATATTCTGTTACTGTATTTCTTAGTTCTAACATTTTTATTTAATTCTTCTTTATGTCTTCTGGGTTTTTTTTCCCTGAGATTTTTAACTTTGCAGTTAGTTTAAGAGTTGTCACAATTACTTAGAGCTTTGTACTAGTTTCTTTAAAGATTTTTGTCCGAGATTGTCAATATCTGTGCCATCTTGGCATTGATGTCTCTTTTTTCCATGTGAAGTAGGATTTTCCTGATTCTTCAAGTGCTATACTATTTTAGATTACGTCCTAACCTTTTTGAATATGGTGATTCTAGTTCTTCCTTAAATTTGATGATGAATTTGAACATTTTTGTTTTAGCACGTATTAAGCTTGGTTGAAGTTAGCCTTACTTGGCCTCAGTTTCTGAGCAGCATTTAAGAGTACAGTCCTTGTATTAGTTATGCTGTCAAACCTTTTGTGGTGTTGTTTGGATCTCTCTGCCATATGTGCACCCAGCAGGGAACTTAGACATTGGCTTTATCCATAGTTTAGTTGTCAAAGTCTCTGTTTAGGGTAAACTCCATACATGTGTGTCATGGAATTGAGCTCAGGTGTTCATACAACTTGACAACATCTTTCTGATCTCATCCCTCTCTGTAATCTCCTTGGTATTTTCTGTTTACTAGAGTTTTCCTTTTTATTCATCTTACCCCAAACCTGAGGCTTTAGTTATCCTTCTCTGCCATGTATTTCTTACAAAAGTGCCGAAGTCCAGCAAAAAACAGCAGGAGAATAGAAAACAAAATTAATCGATCTTGGGGCCACAGATTCTCTAATCACAGAGGAAATTTCCCCTCCTTCAAAGTTTCGGATTCTCTGGGTGCTATTGTTATTGCTGTTGCCATTGCTATCAGATTGCTTGGGGGTTAGGGAATAAATGCTAGGGTGAGGAAGAGAGGGCAAAAAAAAAAAAATAGTAGACCTTCCTATTCTCTTTTCTCACTATTAGAATCTTCTCTAACTGTCTTTTCCTAGATCTTTGTATCCACGTCTGAGTTTGTGTTCAGTTCAGGCATTGGGGATATCAGGAGGGGGCATAAGTGTAGTATTTTCACTGCCAGTTTGGTGGTGCTTCTGGTTCTTCCTCAGTCTTCCTGCTACTATTTACTTGCTCGAATTTTCAATAGCTGCTGCATGTACTTTGTCCAGGTGTCTGGTGTTTAGTGGGCGAGCCAGAGTGGCATGTGATTACTTGGAACCAAGATCTCCCCAAATTACTATGATCTTCCATTCTTGAGACATATACAGAGGGGCCAAAAAATATATACACATTTAGGGGCGGTGCCTGTGGCTCAAAGGAGTAGGGTGCCGGCCCCATATATCGGAGGTGGCGGGTTCAAACCTGGCCCCAGCCAAAAAATCGCGAAAAAAAATTATACACATTTTACCAAAGAGATGTATTAAAATTATACTTAATATATACCAATAGCAAAAGATGAATACAAGAGTACAAGTCATGTTTGACTTCTGCAATTGCATGAGGGGACTCAAAGTAGTTGCTATCAGCACCCAGACTCTTCTGATTACAGTGAACGGCTATTAAAGCAATATCACAAGGTCTCCCGGATTGTCCCTTGGGTACATCACACAGCACTATGTTTCTCAAACTTATCACACATGTGTGCAGTTGTTATGCATGTTGACGTTCTGCGGCATACTCAATGTCTCCACTGTCATTGTGCTTTGACAGTGTTCTCCAATTTCAGTCACCACGTCAAACTGGTCTTTCCCTCCTTGAGTAACAAGGAAGGACAACTGTGCTTCCATCATTTTCTTTGACTGTCCTGCCTGTCACATGAAGACAGTGGCATTCATTTGATTAATGCCATCTTTTGAGTGAATGTCATACTACAAGTTGCTACTGTAATTCGATTCAACTTTGAAAAGTAATACATAGATAACATTTCTTAAATTGCATATACATATTTTTGGCACTCCTAGTGTATTATTTTTAGACTTTATGGCTATTTATGTGTGAGTCAGTTTCATTGCTTATTGAAAATCTTTACGATAGGATGTGGTATTTTACCCAGATTTATCTGTCCCACAGCATTTAGGGGAATGTATACATCATTCATTTTTACTTAGAAATTTTTGTTGACTCAGAAGCTACATAAAATTGACTAACTTCACATCTAGAGCATTCCTATTAATCAGTGTTGGGTAAATCTGGATGTTTTCAATGTAATTAAGAATAAAATAAAATAACCATTATGCTTTCATCTCTTTACTAGGAAATTAAGAGACAGATTCCGTTCTATTGAAAAGAGAGAAACTCTCTGTTAGAGGGCATTTAATGTCCTTAAAAATAATATTCAAAGTTGATTTCCTGAGAAGAAACTGCTAAAATGCCAGCACAGGTCTCTTTTGTCCTTAAAATTGTATTAAATGCTTGAATCTAAGGATTCATTCTTGAACAGTTTCTCTTGGTAGACCAATAATCAGTGGACTAGACTGAGCAACTTTAAAACTACCTTTATTAATTCCCTCACATTTATCAAATATTTACCAAACTCCTACACTATACATAAGGGATGTGAATACAAAAATGCACGAACCAGCTACTTTCCCTCTAAGAAATGTGCAAACATTTTCTGCAAAGGGGCAGATATTAACGATTTTAGGATTTTGAGATCACTTGGTCTCTGTAACAACCACTCAACTCTGCTGTAAGAACATAGAGAATATATACAGACAGTATGAATATAAATGGGCATAGCTGTCTTACAATAAACTTTATTTACTAAAACAGGTGGCAGTTTGGATTTGGCTCATTGGGTACAGTTTGCCAAGCCCTTCTCTAAAATTGGATTGTAATGAAGGAAAAAAGATACAGAATAACAAATTATAATATCCAAGAACATTTAGTGGCTATTATAGTACAGAAGATGAGTTATCTAAGTTAGTCTGGCAACAACAAGGTATAGAGAAATCTTCCAGGAGGAGGTGATATCTGAGATAAATTCTGAAGTAAAAGTAAGTGGACTGGGTGACAGCTTATCAGAGGGAGAAGGGACGTTAAGAGGGCATTTATTTAGGAGGATATAACATGAAAGCAGAAGTACATAGGTATATGTGCAGAATTATACATAGACTTGGATCTTCTAAAGGTTAAAGAAAAGGCCAAGAATCAGTTTTTCTTAGCAGGTGTGGTGTCCAAGTGAGAGGTAATCACTAGGGATCCAGTGAAG